AGGATATATATTTTGGGCCGATATTAAAACATTTTAGAGCCTCGAACAGGAATGTCCATTCAACTCGATCAAAGGCTTTCTCTGCATCCAGCGAGACCACTACTTCTGGGGTCTCACTGGATGCAGGAGAAAGAATAATACTGAGAAGGCGCCGAATGTTGGAAGAAGAATGTCGATTTTTCATAAATCCAGTTTGATCTGAGGAAATTATTTTAGGCATGATTAGTTCCAGTCGACATGCAAGTATTTTAGATAGGATTTTATAGTCTGCATTTAAAAGAGATATAGGTCTATAAGAACTGCATTCGGAGCCTTCTTTACCTGGTTTTAAAATAAGTGTTATTGCAGCTTCTGTTAGAGTTTGTGGCAGAGAGCCCTGGGCCATAGAGTCATTAAACATGTCCAAAATAAGAGGTGCCAGTTTGGTTTGAAATGTTTTATGGGATAACCATCTGGACCAGGGGCCTTTCCACTTTGCATTGCCATAATATATCTTTTAATCTCATTTATGGAAAGAGGAGTATCTGTATGGCTTGTTTCAGCTTGTGTGAGTACTGGGAATTTAAGACCGTCCAAAAAAAGATTCATTTCCTTGTCGTCTGTGGGAAATTGCGAGGTGTACAGCGTGGAAAAATATGTTTTGAAAGTTTCATTTATTTTTGAATAATTAGTAGTAAGTTCACCTGATAAGGTTTTAATTTCATTTATTTGGTTCCTAATTGTTTTATTTTTAAGCTGGTGTGCCAGATATCGTCCGGCCTTCTCACCATGCTCATAATTTATTCCACGAAGTTGTTTTAATCGATTTTCAGTTTCTTGGGTGGATAGTAGATTATATGTCATTTGGAGATTTGCTCTTTCTTTTCGTAGTACTGCGGATGAGTTCTTTGACATTGTGTCGTCTAATCGAGCTATATCTTTCAATAGTTGTTCCCTCTCTTGTTTCTTAGCTTTATTTTGTTTTGCGCTGTAAGATATAATCTCGCCTCGTATAACAGTTTTCAATGTTTCCCACAGAAGAGAAGGAGATACAGATTCTGATTTGTTATTTAACAGAAACACATCAATTGCTTCAGAGATTATAGAACAGAAGTTACTATCATTTAAAAGTGAGCAGTCAAACCTCCAAAGGGGCCTTATTTTTTGAACTAGTGATAGGGTCATATCCAGTATAAGAGGGGCATGGTCAGATATGACTATGCTGGAGTAGGTCACATTATTAAGATTTGATAGAAGACTTTTATCTATATAAAAAAATCTATTCTTGAAAAAGAGTTGTGAACATTTGAGTAAAAAGAAAATTGCTTTTTATCTGGGTTCAGGGCGCGCCATGGGTCTATTCCTCCAGTTTGTTCCATGAACTGTGATATCATTTTTGACATTTTATGAGGGGAGGTAGTATTTTTGGAAGATTTATCAATCAAGGGATTCATAGTACAGTTCAAGTCTCCTCCCAAAATAAGACGATGTAAATTTAAGTCAGGTAGTACAGAAATAACTGTTTGAAAAAAGGAGGGATCGTCTCTATTTGGTGCATACAAATTAACCAAAGCCACTTTTGTGCCATCCAATTCACCAGTTACAACTAGAAACCGCCCATTCGGGTCATTAATAATACTGATTGGCTTAAAGAGAATTTTTTTATGAATTATTATGGCCACCCCTCTTGATTTACTTTTGAATTTTGAATGGAAGGTTTGCCCGACCCATGACGCTCTCAATCTGTGGTGGTCCTTTGGGACCAGATGAGTCTCCTGCAGAAAGGCTATATCAGTTTTTAATTGTTTTAAATGAGAGATTATCTGCCCTCTTTTAATAGGGCCGTTAAGACCCTTCACATTCCATGAGACAAATCTCAGACCATTTTCCTTATCACCCATTTTTAATTAATAAAACAATACAACAGAAAAGGCATGAAATATATATTGGTATTAAGGTGTATACTAAGACAGCGGTACCCAGGCAGGACAGCCCCCCACCCCTTTTCCCAGCCCACCCAGCCCCCCCCAAATGATAAAGAAAAATTGACAGGTAAAAAACAAAAAGTGTTCCTAAGCTTGTGCCCACCCAAGGCACAGGCAGCAGGATGGTGTGTGTTGCTTGTATGATGTCCATACCGCATTTTTGAGCGCTCCATTAATGTGTCAGTTAGTCGCCTTATTTGGAGAATGTCTATAAAGTATATACAAAAGGAAGGCTCACCTCACTTCCAGTATAGTTGTCCGGTCCTCTTTTTCAGGAATGTTTCTTTTTTTTTCTTTTCTTTTTTTCCTTCTACTCACGACTAGAGCTATTTCGGTCAGCAAAGACTTGAGCTTCTTCGGGAGAATCAAAATAGTGATTTTTATTTCCGCTCCACACCTGCAGGCGAGCGGGGTGTAGTAAGCGGAATTTTATTCCGTTGCGATATAGTTTGTTCTTAACTTCTTTGAACGCACCTCGCCTCTTCGCCAAAGCAGCGCTGATATCCGGGTACACTCGAAGTGTTGAGCCGCTATATTCCAGTGGATGTTGCGTGGCCCATCTCCGGAGCGTTTCTTTATCTTGGTAACGCAGGAATTTCACGATGAAGACCCTGGGTTTCGTTGATCCACCCGTGTCTGCCGCTCGAAATCCTGGGGTGCGATGGGCGCGCTCTATCTCCGGGGGGTTTGAGAAGACATCGGGGCCAACCAGCTTCATTATCAGGTTAGCCATAAACTTGATGGGGTCTTGGTCCTTTTCGCTTCCTTCGGGAATGTTGATAATCCTCAGATTTGAACGACGGGATCTATTTTCCAGTTCCTCCACACGATCGTGGAGTATCTGTGTTTCGGTCTTGAGGGTTTTCACCTCGACCTCAATTTCTGTAATGTGTTTGAAGTTTTCTCCGACTGTAACTTCAGTTTGTGTGAGGCGAGTGTTGAACGATGCCACTTGTTGTCCAAGCTGTGACACTGATTGTTTGAGTGATTGTGTTGATTCATTCACCAAAGTTGCCATGTCTTCTTTGAAACTGTCCCGCAGTTTATTAAGCAGTGACTCGAGCTCATATTTGGTCACTGGGTCTGCGGCGCTAGGCTGATTTGCGTCTGGGAGTATTTCATCTCCGCTGCTAGTTGTGAGCTTAGCCACGGAGCTCGCAGCTCGAGTTAGTGGTGGGTTTTGCATGACGAGCTGGAGCTGCTTCTGCTTACTCATTTTTTTAGCGGAGCGTAGAGAATGTACCTTTGTTGTAGATACGGTTTAAATGTCCAATTCAGGAAGTGAGGTTTGAATGAGAAATGTTAAATTCCAAGGTTTGTTCAGAGCGCTCTGCACACACGTGTGTTCACACGGACATCCGGTTCCAAAAAAACCCCACATTACATTTAAAATAAAGGACGTAGGTCCGTTGTGATAACACAGAGGCTGATACAGGTTACAAAAATATGTACATTTATTAACAAGTTTGTTCAGGTCACTGTAACATGATTCTGGTCACTGTAACATGATTCTGGTCAATGGAATCTGGGTAAGGCAAGGCGGCGACAGTGCACCGCATGGCTCCATGGCATCAATCTAAAAGTACATGTATCTAAATAAATATTATGACTCAAATTGTTCTATAACTTATAAGTTCTGCTACAAACCTGGGTTAGCGCGGTAGCCGCTCACACACATGAGCTGGGTTGACAGCCAGCACCGCGGGCGGTAGTTACACGGCAACACAAGTGGACCCATGGCAGCAGCACTGAACCACAATATTTAAAAATCAGTGCTCCATAAAACAAATATCTCACATTTAACTTTCGGATACTACCTGAGAGCGGGAACAGCGACGTAAACACCGCAACCGGAAGCAGGAGAGCGAGGTCAGAGGACGAGTGAAAGAAGACGCGTACCTTTTATTGGGTGATTGACGGGACGAACAACCAATAGAAAATGAGGACGAGAGAAAGTGGCATAGAGCCCGCCTGCAGGCTGTAATGCCACAGTATCTTCCGAGTATTTTTGTACAAGGCATGTAGCAGAGTTGTTTCAAAAGTCTGCAGTGTAGATTAGAAACCAAATGAACCTTGTTGGACTATAACTTGAGTATTTACAGTTGTTTTTCTGATAATAAATAATCTGAATCTCTAGTTGAACAGGGTGCTCCTCTCTGACGTGTCTCATCTTTCTGCTCTGTGGCACCTCTCGCTGATGTCCTGATAAATCCTGACAGAGTTCAACCAAATGTCACGGAGCATTCGTCCCTCTCCTGGCGCCTCACTCACTTTTGGGCCACGGCGAATATGCAACGATTCAAACGTGTTCTCATCACTGACAAAAAAAGGCCTCAAGAAGTGTGAGCTGAAAGGGTCAGGGAAGGCAACAGTCTGGGGTCGAGTTACATCACACATGTTCCAAACCTCAGATCTGTGTGGAAGGAAACAGAAAGGCTCGGTCCTTAGGGTTCAGAAGCCTCAGTCTTCAGGGTTCAGACTTGGCCCTCAGGGTTCAGAAAGCTGCCTGAAATCACTTTCTGTGGATAAATACTCTTTGGAGATACTACTGCTGTCGTGTGGTTGTTCTTTCATTTCATAAACATCACTTTTGACACAGCACACAGATTTGACAAAATCCCATCTCATGACGCAACATTCTCATGCTCCATGTTAATTGTTGCTTAAATGATGATAACTGTATGCCCACTTTAAACAACACCGTCCTCCACATTTCTTGGCAAAACGTGGCTCTTCCTGCATTTCTTCACATTGTAAATACCTCAGTCGGCCCCTGACAGTGGCCCCTGACGGCGGCCCCTGACGGTCCCCATTCAGACTTGTGAGACTGTCCAACCTGGGAGCGGGGCCAGTGTTTGTTTTAATTTGCTGCCATGTTTCTTCTCTGCTCTTTTTTCTGTTTTTAGAAATGCTCTGAGGCCTTTGTGTGTGGATCTCCAGGCAACAGACACATCACTATTCAGAGCGAGCGGAAACAAGGCATCCAGCTCTTTCTCTTGGACGCAGCTCGGAGCATCCTACCTGACTGCCTTACCAATGAACCCTGAGGCCACCTCCCTCCTCCTCGGGCTCCCTCCACTCCCTCCTCGGGCTCTCTTCTCGGGCTGCCTGCTCAGGCTCCCTCTTCTGGCTCCCTCCTCGGGCTCATACCTCGGACTCCTCTCCTTCGTGCTCCCATCCCTCCTTGGTCTCTCTCAGTTTTCTTCTCCCTCCTCTCTCTCACTTCTCTCTTCTCCCTCCTTGGGCTGTTTCAGACATCACTCCCCCTTTCTACACTGCTCCAAACAAAGTCCCCTCTGTCACATGCAGCGCTATTTGCTCATGCTGAGAACTTGATATTTCGGGTGTTTATCATTAGCCTGGGTTTGAAATAGAGCTAAAATATTGTTTGCATTTTTTAATTTGTTCCTTTACTTTCTGATTAAGACTGAATTAGAATCAGGGTTTTAATATTGGGCTCTTTGGAAAGTTTTACAGGGTTAAAAACAGTCTATTAGTTTGTTATGGCGCGGCGTACATGGTCCATTTCATTCAGTCTATTAAAATGGTTGATTAAAGCAAGAGTAAAATATGTGAGAATTATATTTATCATTTATATGACAGGCTCATGTGTTTGCAAATGTTTTGCTCCTTGATAGAAGCAAAATTCTCACCCTTAAAGAGGTAATCTCAAGGGGATCTCATGTGGAATTATAACCGTTTTACAGTGCCTTGCGAAAGTACCTTTCAACATTTCGCCACATTTCAGGCTTCAAACATAAAGATATAAAATTTAAATTTTTTGTCATGAATCAACAACAAGTGGGACACAATCGTGAAGTGGAACGAAATATATTGGATAATTTAAACTTTTTTAACAAATAAAAAACTGAAAAGTGGGGCGTGCAATATTATTCGGCCCCTTTACTTTCAGTGCAGCAAACTCACTCCAGAAGTTCAGTGAGGATCTTTGAATGATCCAATGTTGTCCTAAATGACTGATGATGATAAATAGAATGCACCTGTGTGTAATCAAGTCTCCGTATAAATGCACCTGCTCTTTGATAGTCTCAAGGTTCTGTTTAAAGCGCAGAGAGAACCATGAAGACAAAGGAACACACCAGGCAGGTCCGAGATACTGTTGTGGAGACGTTTAAAGCCGGAGAAAAAGATTTCCCAAGCTTTAAACATCTCAAGGCGCACTGTGCAAGCAATTATATTGAAATGGAAGGAGTATCAGACCACTGCAAATCTACCAAGACCCGGCCGTCCCTCCAAACTTTCATCTCAAACAAGGAGAAGACTGATCAGAGATGCAGACAAGAGGCCCATGATCACTCTGGATGAACTGCAGATAACTACAGCTGAGGTGGGAGAGTCTGTCCATAGGACAACAATCAGTCGTGCACTGCACAAATCTGGTCTTTATGGAAGAGTGGCAAGAAGAAAGCCATTTCTCAAAGATATCTATAAAAAGTCTTGTTTAAAGTTTGCCACAAGCCACCTGGGAGACACACCAAACATGTGGAAGAAGGTGCTCTGGTCAGATGAAACCAAAATCGAACTTTTTGGCCACAATGCAAAACTATATGTTTGGCGTAAAAGCAACACAGCTCATTACCCTGAACACACCATCCCCACTGTCAAACATGGTGGTGGCATTATCATGGTTTGGGCCTGCTTTTCTTCAGCAGGGACAGAGAAGATGGCTAAAATTGATGGGAAGATGGATGGAGCCAAATACAGGACCATTCTGGAAAAAAACCTGTTGGAGTCTGCAAAAGACCTGGGACTGGGACGGAGATTTATCTTCCAACAGGACAATGATCCAAAACATAAAGCCAAATCTACAATGGAATGGTTCACAAATAGACGTATCCAGGTGTTAGAATGGCCAAGCTGAATCCAATCGAGAATCTGTGGAAAGAGCTGAAGACTGCTGTTCAAACGCTCTCCATCCAACCTCACTGAGCTCGAGCTGTTTTGCAAGGAAGAATGGGAAAGAATTCCAGTCTCTCGATGTGCAAAACTGATAGACATACCCCAAGCGACTTGCAGCTGTAATTGCAGCAAAATGTGGCACTACAAAGTATTAGCGCAAAGGGGCCGAATAATATTGCACGCCCCAATTTTCAGTTGTTTATTTGTTAAAAAAGTTTAAATTATCCAATAAATTTTGTTCCACTTCACGATTGTGTCCCTGTTTTATGTTTGAAGCCTGAAATGTGGCGAAATGTTGAAAGGTTCAAGGGGGCTGAATACTTTCGCAAGGCACTGTATGTATTTATACAGAGACCAATACAAAGCACAGGTTACTGAGATCCACTTTGACAAATACGCAGTGATTTCCATGTCCTCTGTGTGTTGTAGTCACTTGTATTTGTGTCACCATTTTGTCTTTTTCACTCCAGTGCCGATCTGCTGGAGCGAGGTGTTGTGTTGGTGGGATGGGTGAGTGTGTGTGTGTCTCTCTCTGTGTGTGTTTGTGTGTCTGTGTCTGTGGAGCGAGGGCAGCTGTCTGTTCTGTTACCACCTCCTCCTGCTGTAATTACAAGCCTGAGTGAACAGCGCAGCTCCATCAGGTACAGGCCCTCTCCACCGCCACAGCCTCTCTCTGTCTCTCTCTCTCTCTCCTTCCTCATTGCCTCCTTCTCTCCTCAATCTTTCAATTTATCAGTTCATCAAATCAATTATTATGTGTGGAACCCAACCACAGCAGTCTCACAGGGCCTCACGTGTTCTTTGATACAATACATTTACTGCCCGTTACTACCAGATGAAACATTAACCGCCAACATTTAGCATTTTGAAAGGGTTAGCTTGGAAGACGTGTCTTGCTGATATAGCTGTAGTTTGATTCCATTAGGTCACATGCACTACAATAGAGAAAGTTTCCCAACATGTCTGAAGCTAGTGCAAACTTCACAGTGTCAGAACCACTTCAACGTCTATGTGATATTTTAACAGCTTCTCAAATTCAATCCAGAATCCTAAAATCTACAAAACAGCTGCCTATAAAGGGAAAAAGGAAAACTGAGTGCTGACTGCGGATCTGGTTTCATAACATCACAAGGTCTTGAAGGGAGCAGCCCCCTCTCCATATGCACCTCCCTGAGATTTCTGAGTGGTTCCCTGCTGATGCAGGAGGGTCAAAAGACAGTGACGATCCAGGACATTTCTACACATGCATTAACATTTCTGGACAGTGGTCATCCCGCTCCGTATGGACTAATGGCTCCTATGTGTGTTATTTTTGTATTTCTTGTGTTTGAACTTTTTGATTCTCTGGTGTCTTGTCTGGTGTCTCTCTCTGACCTCTCTTTCTGGCCTCTCTCTCTGCACTCTCTCCATCGCCTCCCTCTCTTTCTGGTCACTCTGGCCTTACTCTCTGCCCTCTCTTTGGTGAATCCACAACTTTGCGGTTGACTGCTGCTGTGATTTGGGGCAAGACACAAATATGAAGCTGAATGCGCAGGTTCAGACTGAAAGATCGATTGCCTGCCAGCCTCGAGCCTCAGCCAATCAAACAGCTCTGCCAGCCTCGAGCCTCAGCCAATCAAACAGCTCTGCCAGCCTCGAGCCTCAGCCAATCACACAGCCAGGCCAGCCTCCTGCCAACCCTCTCACAGCAAAGCGGGCAGTTTAAAAGGCAGCCACTTCCTGACAAACAACGCTTCCTGAGGCTCTTAAACATCCACCGCCTCCCCAGCACCCCCTCTGGCTCTTGGCTCCCACTCTGGCTCCCCCTCTGGCTCTTGGCTCCCGCTCTGGCTCCCGCTCTAGGCTCCCGCTCCGGCTCCGCCTACGCCCCATTCACACCATACTCTAGCCACCACCAGTGATTGACCCCGGGGGATCTGAGATCATCTTCAGCTGCAATCGATCTCATTGCTGCAAGTGTCACTGCCGGGGTATATGCACCAAACAAATAAATCATTTTAATGTATTAATTGTGTCTTTGGTCTCTTCAGATTGAAACATTGATTTGAAATGATGAAAATAAAGTTAAAAGTCCTTGTTTTGTGTTTGTTCATTTCCTGTTTGTTTGTGTGTAGTGTTTGACGTAGCTGCTTACTCACGTCTGCAGTCCGACATCTTTAGACATTGGATGGCTGGTGCTTGTGCTTCAGAACGATAAGGCCCTGGATTCGATAGCACCTCCAGACAAGGGCTTTCGGTGAAGTCTGCATGTTCTACCTGTGTCTGCGTAGGTTTCCTCCAGGTGCTCTGGTTTCCCCTACCACTAAGTACAACTGGTCTGATATGTAGTGTGCGTGAAAGTGATGGTTGGAGGCTTTGTTTCAGAGTGAAGACTTTTCCCAGGCTTTTAATTTGATATATTATAAAATGTATTGATTCTATTCAGTTTTACATCATGCCTGTTCAGTTGATTCCCAGCCCCTCCCTCGTGTGTGTCCCTGTGTGTGGTGTGTCCCTGTATTTATACCCTGTGATTTTCCCCACTTGTGGATTTTGGATATCTGGATTTTGCTTTGTTATTGCTTTTATTGAATCACACATTTTTGTAGACCTGCATTTTGGGGTTATTTCCTTTTGAAACGTGACACTTTCATTCTTCTCTGTCCGTCGTCACTGTTTGTGGAGGGAGTAGAAATATACTAGCCTGGTCGTACCACACCATAGTACAAATGACATTTCGTACTAAGGTCTCGATGTGCTCCATTGAGCTCCGTGAACAGGTGGGAGGGGTTAACTTCTTTTGCAGATTGAAACGATTGGATCTGAGTTTACCATCACGTATGTAATCTGCCCGAGTCTGTCGTTAGCATTTAGCATTTAGCCTAGCCATCTCCTTTGTCGCTAACAGAGCCTGTGGGGAGTAGTGCCACAATTTTTTCCAGCGATTACATTTGCTAAACATTCCTCTTGCTCCGGCTTAAATTTCTTAGAACCAGACCGGAATACTTTACTTTCGCATTTTTCGCCATTGCCAAACTACAACCTGCCCCTTCAACGCAAACTCTTGACGTCACCCACAACTAACTACAACACCCGCCTTCCGCGCTCGCTGATTGGTCGGTCAAAATTCAAGCGATTGTAATCGCTAACATGGGGACCAGACCCAGACGTTAAATGCAGTGAAATGATGATTGAGCGGAGCACTGTAAACCCTGACAAGTAAAGTTTACTTGAAAAAAACATGGAAATAAATTGCGTATTAACTTACATCGTTTACTTGATATTACCAAGTAAACTCGAGTGATTGCAATAAAGTTTAAATTTCTACTTATGCTCCGACTGGGATTCGTACTCACACCTGTCTCATTAAAGATTCTACACATCAAAATGTCAAAAGTGAGGCTTACTTGAACAGAAACAGTTCAATTCAAAGAAAGCCCTGAGTGACATAGCCAAGCTTTAAATAAACTAACAATAAATGAGTAATATCTACTTACTGGGAAAAATCTATTTAAAATAACTTTGATATCTGAAGTAGGATTGAAGTTAGGGTTTACAGTGAGTGTATGGATGGCTAAGGCCAGGCTAGAAATATACCAGTCCTTCAAATTATGTTTACTGGGGCCTGTAACCCCTACAAAGAGCAGACCTGTCTTAAGTGACCACAGTGCATTTAACAGAGTGAAGATATGAATTGGCTGCGTTGTCTTTGTTTGCTGAGTACATCTTATATCATGTTTTCAGTTCTTCCCAGTCACAGTCTCTGCCTCCCCCCTCCCTCTCCTGTTGGTGCTGCTGTGGCCCGCGGCCCGATCGACCTGCTGGGATCTGAAATGCCACGTTCTGTTGTGTGCCATTAGACGGTCCGCTCACCCCTCATCGTTCACCATCTGGAAGAAGCATGTTCCCCTGATGTGATCGCAGCCTGTGGAACATAAACTGAAGAGGGAGGCTGCGAGTCTGTGCTTCTCAGAGTCCCAGCAGGAGTCCAGTCCCTGTGCTCCTTTAGAATAGGTTCATATGGCACTAACATGTCATAGATGTACTTTGGTGCGAGGCCATGGAGAGACCTGTAGCAGAGGTGCTTTAAAGTTTACTTTCTGAACCTCACTCGGTGGCCTCCCGCTGGGACTATGAGGAGCACAGGAACTGGCCTCCTGTTGGGACTATGACAACCACAGGGACTGGCCTTCTGTTGGGACTATGACAACCACAGGGACTGGCCTCCTGCTGGGACTATGAGAAGCACAGGGACTGGCCTCCTGTTGGGACTATGACAACCACAGGGACTGGCCTCCTGCTGGGACTATGAGGAGCACAGGAACTGGCCTCCTGTTGGGACTATGAGGAGCACAGGGACTGGCCTCCTGCTGGGACTATAAGGACCACAGGGACTGGCCTCCTATTGGGACTCTGAGGTGCACAAGGACTGCCCTCCTGCTGGGACTATGAGGAGCACAGGGACTGGCCTCCTGCTGGGACTCTGAGGAGCACACCCTCTCTCCATACTTTGCTGGAGTTTTTGAGTGGTTTCTGCACTGCACGGTTTTCTACATTGAGTTGAGCATAACCTATGAACAACACACATTTTTCTCCCATGTACAAAACGTTCTACAGTACTAACACACACTGACAACAGTAATAAGGATCATATATTACACTGCCTGAGTTGGTGTTTTGTTGTTAAACCTTGCGACAGTGTGTTCTAATCCCCCTCCTCCTCCTCCTCCTCCTTCGCTTCCGCCTCCTCCAGACGTGGTGGATCTGCAGCTCATTTGGGACGTTCAGGGTGCTTGATTTTGGGGAGATGCAGAAGCCATAAGAAGATTATGAGGCACAGTTCTCAATGTGTCTCTCACTCGCCTGACGGGCCGTCTGATTGGCTGGGACGTGCTTATCATGTTGTACAGGAGCTGGGGGGAGGGGGAGTTCAGGGGGAAATGGAGCTGGGGGCCATACACAACTCACTGAGTTTTACAGTACAGATAGTTTTAAATAATCTGTTTTCAATTCATCAATTAAATGTATAGCTTCACTCTCCTCTCTACTAACTGCTTGCATTTTCATTACCCTTAAGTATCAATAAAAAAAAAAACAGTATTCTGGGAAATTCCTTGGTAACCATGGCTTCCAACAGCCCTCTGACCAATCACTGTCAGTTGAAACACTATAGTACCAGCTCGGCCTGGACAGAACCAGTACCAAGAGGGACTAAAGAAGGACCTGGTCAGTGGAAACACTCCTAATCGGGGGAGAGTAGAGAGCAGAGTATGGAGTAGAGAAGAGTTGAGTAGAGCAGAGTATAGAGTAGAGGAGTGCAGTTTAGAGTTGAGTAGAGTAGAGAGAATAGAGTAGAGTAGAGCAGTTTAGAGTTGAGTAGAGTAGAGAGAATAGAGTAGGTAAGTGTAGAGTAGAGTAGAGTAGAGCAGTTTAGAGTAGAGTAGAGTAGAGTAGAGTAGAGTAGAGCAGTGTAGAGTAGAGTAGAGTATAGTAGAGTAGAGCAGTGTAGAGTAGAGTAGAGCAGTGTAGAGTAGAGTAGAGCAGTGTAGGTAGAGTAGAGTAGAGTAGAGTAGAGTAGAGTAGAGTAGAGCAGTGTAGAGAAGAGTAGAGTATACAGCAGTGTAGAGTAGAGTAGAGTAGAGCAGTGTAGAGTAGAGTAGAATAGAGTAGAGTAGAGCAGTGTAGAGCAGTGTAGAGTAGAGTATAGAGCAGTGTAGAGTAGAGTAGAGCAGTGTAGAGTAGAGTAGAGCAGTGTAGAGTAGAGTAGAGCAGTGTAGAGTAGAGTAGAGTAGAGTAGAGCAGTGTAGAGTAGAGTAGAGCAGTGTAGAGTAGAATAGAGCAGTGTAGAGTAGAGTAGAGTAGAGTAGAGCAGTAGAGTAGAGCAGTGTAGAGTAGAGTAGAGTAGAGTAGAGCAGTGCAGAGTAGAGTAGAGCAGTGTAGAGTAGAGTAGAGTAGAGCAGTGTAGAGTAGATCAGTGTAGAGTAGATCAGTGTAGAGTAGAGTAGAGTAGAGTAGAGTAGAGTAGAGTAGAGTAGAGTAGAGTAGAGTAGAGGAGAGGAGAGGCCTGTTCTCTCGCTTTCATGAATGAGTCTCGGTTTAGGGGAAAACTCAGCGACAGGTGTGGGAGCCGCCCAACTCAGAAGAATGCGTGCAAGTTATTGAGCCTAGAGCGACCCGCCCGGTCCGTAACGAGGCCAGAAAGAGAGCGAGGGAGAGAGGCACGGCAGAAGTTGTTGATGTAAAAAAAAGAAAAAAGAAAAATGTTGATGAGAAAGCATATAAAAGCCACAGACGGGGGATGCGCCCTGCCTCAGCCGCTGCCTCTCAGTGGTGGGAATGCTGGAGTTAGGGGAGGGTGACATTGACGCTGTGTGGATCCCGCTCAGACGCTTCTCCTCTGTCCCCTCTCTCTTCCTCCTCTTCCTCCTCTGTCCCCTCTCTCTTTCAGCACCACGGCTTTAAGGACAGCACCTCGCTCTCCGTGCGCGCACTCTGGCTGTGGATCTATCTGCCCTGGTGTGGCTCCAGTGCAGAGACATAAGACAACTTTGGTTTATTTTGCTTTTTGCAAATCCAAATCAACGCAGGAAGTAACTTTTTTTTGGGGTAGCAACGCGTTGTTACTGGGAGTAAATCTGGCAGAGAAAAGGGCAGAGCTGTAAGTATGTGTGCATTCTTCTCACGGGCGCGCGGTGCAGGAATTCTAAATATTCTTTGAGCCATATGCGCTAATTAACTTCTTTATTCAATTTCAATTATGTTTTAATTTATATTGTTTATATGCGTTGCTGCACAACATATATTTTCACATACAATGCAATAAAATGCATTGATTCTGATTGCACAACACATGACATATTTTAACATGTATCAATTACAGACATTGATTATTATAGCAGACAATTAACAAGTGCATGGATCGAAATGTTTATTTGATCCAGACCCCCTACACGCGCACGTAAACACACTTGCACGGGCACATATACTTCAATACACGCACGAACACGCTCACCCACACGTGCACGCACACACGCGCGCGCGCACACACATGCACAGACACACACACTACATCACCATAACAATATCATGCGATGTATTAAAAAAAAATGTGACTCTGCATTGATACAAAACACGACACTATACCACAGATGATATAATAGATCATAATTCACTCGGTTAATAGATCAGAAAAATATGCTAAAAAAACATATACAAAAGATCAAATGAAAAAAGCAGAAAAAATCGTATCAAAGCTACAAAGTTTGCATGTGCGTCCAAAAATTATACATTTTTGTTTGTTTTTTGTTTTGATTTTTCTGGGGCGCTTCAATTGATTCAGTATTACCCATTACGCACGGCGAATTCAGCCCGTGTGAGTCAAATTTCTCTCACGGGGGGAAAAATATCTATCTATCTATCAATCTATTTATCTAGAGATTGCACAATGACATGATATTGCACACAAACTCGCAGTAATCACAGTAAATCACCTAAAAGGCCGTGGTTTAGTGCAGGGCCAGGTCGAGGCGGTGAGGGCCACTGACTTATGGGTGATTCATGGGACGTGGTGGTCGCGTCTGACTCTAAACGTGTTTAATTGCTCGGCCCTTGTCGCGCGGCAGCGGGAAGTGGGCCATTGAATTTAGAGCAGAATGAATCAAGGACAAGAGCAGCCTCTGAATTCCAGCCGCGGCTCCCACTCCAGGCGCTCCACACTGACTCCCATTGAGCTGAGTGCTACAGAGATCACCGCTCCACTGAGCTCAGCATCGAAGAGAAATCTCAAAATCTATGATCAGAAATTTGGGATTTAATGCAGTAAAATGGCCTGTGTTATACATAGGCAACATTAATATGGATAATTAGATACAAAGACGCATCAGCCAAGGCTTAGTGAACGGGTGAACAAAAATACTGGTTTATTATAATTAGATTCCGTGTATTTTCCATTCACAGTAAACCCATATTGGAATGCACCAGATAAGCACACACAATATAACCAGCTAAAAAGTTCAAGAGATAATTGTCACTGCAAACCAATAAGTCCCTCTCTCAAGCCTATCTCTCGTGTGTCTCTCTCTGGTCTGTCTCTCCGATCTCGCTCTCAAGGTCTCTCTCTCTATAGTTGCTCTATCTGGTCTCTTTGGACTCTTTTTGGTCTCTCTTTTGTCTCTCTTTGGTCTCTCTATGGTCTATCTTTGGTCTCTCTTTGGTCTTACTCTCTCTGCATGGTCTCTATCTCTGGTCTCTCTTTGATCTCTATTTGGTCTCTCTCTCTGGTTTCTCTTTGGTCTCTCTCTCTGGGTCTCTTTCTGGTCTCTGGTCCCTCTCTGGCCTCCGCTGCCCTCACGTTGCCCTCACGCCGCTCTCTCTCCTTCTCAGGCGGACCGTGTCTGTGATCTGAGCTTGTGGTGTCCAGGACGGAGCTGCTCTGTCCCCTCTTCTCTCGAGGTCAGGGCCACTCGCTGCTCGCGCTCTCGGACCATGGCGACCAACGGAACCAAAGCCGCGGATGGACTGGTCCTAACAGAGACCGTGACGGACGCGCAGCCGGACGCCAACACCAGCAGCAGCACGCCAAACGATAAACCCAAGACGCTGGTGGTCAAAGTGCAGAAGACGAAAAAGGATTTACCAGAGCGAGAAACTTGGGGTGGAAAATTTGACTTTCTGCTCTCGTGTGTGGGATACGCAATCGGACTGGGGAATGTGTGGAGATTCCCGTATTTATGTGGAAAGAACGGAGGAGGTAATCAGGAATATTTGACTTTTGTTCCTTTTTTTATTTTTATTTTTATTTCCAAAGAACATGCAAACTCCACACAGCTCTGTCTGGAGGTGGAATCGAACCCAGGACCTTTTTGCTGTGACGCACAAGTGCTAACTGAGACACCAGAGAGAGAGACCAGATAGACAAGAGATAGATCAATTAGCCTAGAGAGAGACCATAGAGAGACCCGATAGAGTCCAGGGAGAAAGACCCGATAGAGTCCAGAGAGAGAAACCCGAAAGAGACCAGAGAGAGAGACCCGAAAGAGACCAGAGAGAGAGAGACAAGATAGATCAGAGAGAGACCAGAGAGAGAGATCAGATAGAGTCCAGAGAGAGAGACCCGAAGGAGACCAGAGAGAGAGAGACAAGATAGATCAGAGAGAGACCAGAGAGAAGCCAGATAGAGACCAGAGAGAGAGAGAGAGAGACCTGGAAGAGAGACAGGAGAGAGATCAATTAGCCTAGAGAGAAACCAGAGAGAGACCTGATAGAGTCCAGAGAGAGAGATCCCAGAGAGACCCGAAAGAGACCAGAGAGAGAGAGACAAGATAGACCAGAGAGAGACTAGAGAGAGACCAGATAGAGACCAGATAGAGACTAGAGAGAGAGACCCGAGAGAGACCAGAGAGAGAGAGAGACCAGATGAAACAGAGAGAGACCAGATAAAACAGAGAGAGACCAGTATGAGAGACCAGAGTCAAGCGTGAGTCAAGGGTCAAGCGAGAGAACATTAAGAGACCAGAGAGAGGCCAGAAGGAGAGACCAGAGAGAAACCAGCCAGGCCAGAGAGAGAGAGCCCAGAAAGGAAACAGAGACCAGAGAGAGAGCAGTTTCTTTTGGTGTGCTGGCCTGTCTTTTGGAGCGCTCAGGTCACGTATGTCATATGTGTGGGTCTCGTGCATCGTGCTCTCGCTCCGTCTGACCTCTGACCTCTAGTTTAGGGTCCTTCTTGCTCTCGCTCTGTCTGACCTCTGATCTCTCGTTTAGGGGCCTTCTTGATTCCATACTTTTTGACGCTCATATTTGCTGGCATGCCCCTGTTCTTTCTGGAGACGGCGCTGGGTCAGTACACGTCTATCGGAGGCCTCGGAGTGTGGAAATTGGCCCCCGTGTTCAAAGGTAACTGTTACGAACTACGAAAAGTATTCGTTAAGTCACAGGAAGGGTTCGTTAGATCTATTTCAAACCTGCAGAACACAATTTCACACACATACACACACACACATGCGCGCGCACACACACACATACAAAGGTAATGAGGGTTGGATGAAGCAAACACCTAATTCATCCCAACCCCCTTTAACCCATTCAACACACAATAACACAAAGAGTACAATACAATTAATCAACATTAAGAATACTGCGTAGTACAAATCAGAACTAGGACTAGAACTCAGACTTAAAGGAGGATAGGATCATTTTCTACTTCCGGGTGGATCATCAAGACTATTGGTCCTCCTAATTGTCAATCATTCTGATGATACGTGCTCGTCAAACAAGACCAGAAAGATTGTTAAAAAAGTGGCGAGGGCAGTTCTTTCCTAAAATTTGGGAAAATCCTTCTGTATACCTTCAAAACGTTGCGCTGCCAATGTCACTTGGCATGACCTCATATCTTTTTATTTTTTAACTGATTTCACATCTCCTGCCTATTTGCGCACCCGTCAAGTTGAAGGCAGATGTAACATGTTATTTTTTTCCCGAGAAGTTTTTGCTTATATTATCTTGTCTTATACAGTAATATGCAATACCCTAGCATACATGTACCTTCATATATATTAAAAAACACTCGTATGTTTCAGGTGTGGGTCTGGCTGCTGCTGTCCTTTCCTTTTGGCTCAATATCTATTACATTGTTATCATTTCCTGGGCTATTTACTACCTGTACAACTCCTTCGCCGCTGTGAGTATGCCATAAATATCACTTCTCTTGTTTGGGGAAATCTTTCTCACCACCTCAGGCTCCCGATAATGTCTGTGTTGTATTTTAACATTGCAATCTTTTGTGGCATATGGCAGGCGTCTTTCTTTCCCAGCACTAGTTACATAACAGACATTTATTACTTCCTTTCCCACATAATTAGCGCCTTACAAGAGGTATTGATAAATGCATTTGGCGATGAGGCTTTCAGTCGACTAAGAGAGCATGAAATCCCAATGTCCCGAATGAGCATTGTGGCCTTGGCCGCTGGACAGACTGGCAGAAAGGGACTTAGCTGTGGGAGAACGCTCTGGCTAAAAGGGATCTTGATTTTTTTCTTCTTCCTTTTTTTCTTAAATTTTTAGGAATTGCCCTGGCAGAGCTGCGGCAATCCCTGGAACACAGATCGCTGCTACACCAACTACAGCATCATAGACACCTCTAATCTCACCAGCTCAGTGGTGGAGTTCTGGGAGTAAGAGCTTTTCTCTTTATTCACAAATGTGTTTAGAATCACTGTTTTATTCATGAGTGTGTACCACCTCAAGACAGGGCCTTTCTGTGTGGGGTTTGCATGTTCTCCCTGTGTCTGTGTAGGTTTCCCCCATTCCACTATAGGTCTGAATGTATAGTGAGAGACCAGAGGGAGACTACAGAAAGACCAGAGAGAGAACAAAGAAAGAGACCGGAGAGAGAGAGCAGAGAGAGACTAGAGAGAGACCAACGAGAGAACAGATTTTAGAGAGACCAGAGAGAGACCATGGAAAGAAAAAAAAGAGAGACCAGAGAGAGAGAGAGAGAGAGAGATCAGCCAGAGACCAGAGAGATGGACCAAAGAGAGACCAGAAAGAAACCAGAGAGAAGGAGTGAGACTAGAGAGAGAGCACAGAGACTAGAGAGAGACCAGAGAGAGAGAGAGACCAGACAGAGACCAGAGAGAGCGAGAGAGAGAGCGAGAGAGACTATAGAGAGAGAGAATAGAGAGAGACCGAAGAGAGATCGGAGAGAGAAACAGAAAGAGAGAGAAGGGGGATTGGTTTAGATATGGCAGGGCTTCTGTCATCACTGTGTGTGGATGTGTGTTAATGGAAATTGCATTGATCATATAATCTTCAAATGTTGAAAAAACAAATTGGCATTGTGATGGTTGTGGATTCGCCAACAACAGAAAAATTATCAGTTCAAACAGAATCAAAATGCAATAATAACAAATAGGAGCGTATCCAGACATTTTATAAATGTAATAAAGGCCCACATTGAGAGAGGGATCCGTTCCCACGGACTAACTGAGGCTGTAGATCCAGGACTGAGGCTGTAGATCCAGGACTGATGCTGCAGATCCAGGACTGAGATCTTATGGACCAAACCTCCACATAGTTCCTATTCAAACACATACAGTCCATTCTAATGATACATAACATATCTGAGTGCATGTGTCATGTGCGTGACTCGCTGGTACTGTTTTTGACCCTAAACCGCGGGGTTTCTCTGCACATATCTGTGTATCTGTACATGCGTGAGTTCTGATGCTCATTCTGGGATATCGGCTGATGTAGTAATGTGCCTCTGGTCTCTGCCCTCAGACGAAACATGCACCAGCTGACTGATGGCCTGGAGAAGCCCGGGGAGCTCAGGGTGCCTCTGGCCATCACACTGGCCATCGCATGGGTGCTTGTCTACTTCTGCATCTGGAAGGGGGTCAGCTGGACCGGGAAAGTAAGTAATCTGTAGTGAGGAGGAAAGGGCTGGTTCTCTGTTGCCAACATGGATGGAACGGCCAGTTAAGTCTGGTTCTATAAGGAAAGGATTTACTAATCTAAAGCAAAAAACACATATTTCTTGTTAGTGGCCTTAACTTAAGCATTAAGTTATCTGCATTTAAAGATTGGAAATGGTTTGAAAAATATAAAGTTTCAACAAGCAGAAAACAACACAAACTCTCTTTAGAGAATGCGTCAGAAATAACTGAAAGTTGAAGAATATGTCTCCTCAAAGGGGTTTAGCTTAAAATATTGCTGATCTACCTTCAACTAGTACTCTACTCTACTCTACTCTACTCTACTCTATACTCTACTCTATACTCTACTCTACTCTACTCTATACTCTACTCTACTCTACTCTACTCTGCAATGGAAACCCAACCAGTTAGCGTAGAATAGAGTAGAGTACAGTAGAGTGGGGCTGGAGGAAATGGGGCTTTAGATGGTAAAATAGTTCATTCTTACGTTGTATCATCAATGTAAAAAAAACAATAATATCTGGTTCAAACGAGCTCAAACAAGCCTCAATTCACAGTCCATCTCAAACTTGGACAGAGACGGTTTAAAACAAAAATGCTGCCTCTGAATTGGTTTTGGGAAGTAGCAAAGGCCATTAAATGATATTGAAAGTTTAGAATGTACATTTAAAAACGCTCTGAGTGCAATGTCATCGTGGTCTCTCTCTTTTCTCTCTCTGGTCTCTCTCTCTCTCTCTGTAACGTGGTTAAAATCTCAGTCTTAAGTCACACACATGTATAATCGAAAAGCTTGTGTTGTACTTTTCTTGCCATTTAACTGAAACGCCACCAAATGCCAGCTCTGCTTCTGCCGATGTTATCTCTTTGCTGCGGAGTATTGAGTGTTCTGTTGTGCACACGCCTTATCTCCCCCTGTGTGTGTGTGTGTGTGTTTCTCTATCTCTCCCCCAATCTGATTTGCGCTGACTTTCATAGCTAAAGTGTGAAATGAGTGGAAAAGCAGAAATATCTCAGATTGTATACAGTGTGTATAAGCAGGTTTATTCGGAGGCGCTACATATGTTTGTGTGTGTCTCTCTCACTATGTGTCTCTGTGTGCGCCACTCTCTGTGTGTGTGTATCTCTCTCACTATGTGTCTCTCTGTGCGCCACTCTGTGCACTTGTTTTCAACTCCTGGTGGGTTCCATAACCTGAGATTCCACTCACGTCATGGGGACTGGTTTTACGTGGTGGGGCCCGAACACCGGACCCCACTGGTCCAAGCTTAATAATCAATGGGTAATGCTTTTCTAACGGTCCTTATGCAGTCTCTGTAAAAATATGGAAAGGACCCCTGGAGGTTTACTTTCCTGAAAAAAGTGTGTTATGTGTCGGAACCCTGGTGGTGGGTTGCGGGATATCAAGGAGGGGCACACTGGGGCAATTTCAGTCCAGCAGGCTGGAGCCAATCATGGAGCAGCACAACAGAGGAAATCAGGTGTCAGGCTAGAAAAAGGTGCAAGTGTGTGGTTCATTAGGCTGCAAGAAATCATGGAGGAGCACACTGAAGCGCACGCTTACAAACCACTGGTAAGTGCTGACTACAAGTCATGACTTCAAATTGTTATATAGAATGATTACAAATTATTTGTTGTTTGTGCAGCTTAGTCAAGAGTCCCTAATTGATGAAGTCGACTCAGATTCTGACGATTTAACTGTCAAGAAGAAACCTGTAAAAAAGTATGGAAAAAGAAAAATCAAAAACACTTTTCTTCAAGACTCGGAAAGTGACGAACCAAAGGCAAATAAGATTGTTATCATGCAGCTGCAAAAGAAGAAAAATGGGGGGCGAGTATACAGCAAGAGACACTTCTGCCTCTACTGTTCAATGTCCTGCCACAAAATGTCCCGTCATTTGACTAGAAAACATGGAAATGAAAGTGACGTAGCCAGAGCATTGGCTCTACCTGTGAAATCTAAAGCACGTAAACTTCAGTTTGATTTGATCAGGAATAGTGGAAACCGTGAGCACAATTTTGAGGTTTTAAAGGCCGGCATTGGAACTTTAGTCCCAGCTAAACAGCCAAATTCCCCAGTTAAATCCAGTGAGTTTTTGCACTGTATAGACTGTGGGGCATTGCTTAAGCGAAAGTCGCTGTGGAGGCATGTGGCCAGGTGCCGGCTTTCACAGAAAGATGCCCAGGCTAAACCAGGTAGAAGTAGGGTCCAGTCCCTCTGCTCCCTAGCCCAGCCTGTACCGGAGGGCATCAGCAAAAAGCTGTGGTCTTTAATTTCGGCAATGCATCAGGATGAGGTCACGGGTGTTGTCAAAGCAGAAAAGGGGATTCTGAGACTCGGAGAGCACCTGTACTTAAAACACGGGCATGATAAGACAAAGCATGATTACATTAGGCAGAAAATGAGAGAAGTCGGTAGGTTAATTAACGAAGCAAAAACCGCAGGGAAACTGAAAACAATTAAGGATTTCTTTATTCCTTCCAACTTTAACCATGTGATTGATGCAGTCAGGTCTGTGGCTGGATATGATGAGGAAACAAATCAATACAAGACTCCATCCTTGGCCCTCAAACTCGGCCATAGCCTCAGAAAGCTAGCAGATATTCTTGAATGTGACTCAAAAATGGAGCATTGTGTTGATGAACTATTTATTAAAAACCTCCAACGAAGCCGGCTGCTTTTTGAGAAGAGGTGGGACGTCTGTGTTTCTTCTGCTGCCCTACAGACCCTCCGGCAAGCCAAGTGGAACACTCCGGACCTGCTCCCTCTGACTGAGGACGTTAGAGCCATGCATGCACATATTGAGGTATGTCGACCTGAATATGTGCAAACCCTAATAAGTGAGCCAACGTCTAAGCATTGGTCTAAACTGGCAGTTTTGACTCTTTGTGAGGTCATCATTTTCAATCGAAGAAGGGAAGGTGAGGTTTCAAAGATGCCACTGACAGCCTTTACCTTAAGAAGTAAGACTGGGATCCATTCTGACATTGCTCTGGGACTGTCCCAACTTGAGAAAAAGCTGTGTCAGCATTTTCAACGCATTGAAATTAAAGGGAAAAGAAGTCGGAAAGTGCCGGTTCTTTTGACTCCTGAAATGATTGCTTCGATGGAGGTGCTGGTGGAGAACAGAAGGGCCTGTTCCATCTCTGACCATAACCCATACTTCTTTTCCCGCCCGGGCGCAGACACCCACATCAGGGGATCAGACTCCCTACGCCAGGTAGCCAAAGAATGTGGTGCGGTGCATCCAGAGATGCTATCCTCAACCAAACTTAGAAAGCACATAGCTACTATGTCTACAGTTCTCAATATGAAAGAGAATGAGATGGACATACTTGCCAACTTCCTCGGCCATGACATTCGCATCCACAGGCAATATTACAGACTACCAGAGGGGACACTGGAGCTGGCCAAAATCAGCAAAGTGTTGATGGCCATGGAGCAGGGAAGAGTGACGGAATTCGAAGGAAAGAGCCTCGACCAGATACAAATTGAGCCTGAAGGTAATTCTTGATATTATTAAAATATGTATGATTTTTTTCCCCTAAAGGCCACTTGTATTTTTATTTTCTGTGCGACAGGGAGAGCAGTAGAGATCCTCTCACAAACGGACGGGCTAAAAGAAACTTCAAGCGGAGAACCTTCAACCATTCATCCAGATGCACCCCATGGTAGTGGCAGTGCCCCTTCTGGTAAGTGTACCAGGTGGGGGATTACAGCCAGGCTGCTTGGTCCTCACCCTGGGAGTGTATATTGCTAATATATTTTTATTTCTCTCCCTAGAACGTGTAAGAAAGCCATGGTCTGCATCTGAGGTGAAGGCTGTGGAGAAGACCATGACACCTTTCATACAGACTGGAAAGGTCCCTGGGAAGTCTCACTGCCTGGCCTGCATTAATGCCTCACCAGATGACCTTAGACATCGGACATGGAGTGGCATTAAATTCTATGTCAAAAATAGAATCACTGCAATTCGAAAACAAAATCTAAAATAAAATTCCTTTAAAATAGTTGTTTGGTTTCTATTGACTGTTTTGTATTACTTAAAGTCTTGGTAAAAAAAGATTATGTCTATGGGTCCCATTCTGAACGGCCCTGTCAAAGGGACCCACCAGGTAACAAAAACGTGTATGTGTGTGTGTGTGTGTGTGTGTGTGTGTCTCTCTCCGTGAGTTTGTCTCTCCCTAGCTCTTTGTGTGTGTCTCTTTCTCTGTCTGTGTGTGTGTGTGTGTCCTTTTCACTCTCTGTGTATTTCTATGTGTGTGGTGAGTGTGTGTCCCTCTCTCTCTCTCACTGTGTGTGTCTCTGTGTGTGTGTGTGTGTGTCCTTCCTCCTGATCTGATCCTCACTGACTTCAATCGCAAAGTGCAGTGTGTGTAACAGAGGACCGCAGTGAGGTCACCGTGCCTGGAGGGGGCAGCAGACTAGGTCACCACCGCTCATGCATGAAGCAGCCTCAGCTTCAGACGCACTGCTCCTCCTCTCCTCAAGCCTCCAGGGCGCGCTACATCACTGTGTCTCATTACGTCGTGTTGTTTTGTCTCCGCAGGTTGTGTATTTCTCGGCTACGTACCCGTACTTCATGCTTGCCATCCTGTTCTTCCGCGGCATCACGCTCCCGGGGGCCATCGACGGAATCAAGTTCTACATCACCCCCGAGTTCAGCAAGCTCAAGGAGTCTGAGGTAGGCCCAATATTTGTGTCACGTCCTAAATCACAACATCAGTCATCTTGGAGGATTTGCCTATAACAGATCAGAGAATCAGACAGTTCGAACACAAGAAATGCAATAATAACAAACACATAGAGCCATCGATCCATCGGGAGCGGGATGACCACTGTCCATAAATGTTACTAAATGTGCAGAAATGTCCTGGATCAACGCAGTCCTTAGATCTTCCTGCATCTGCAAGGAACCACTCATAAAACCAGGATAAGATCCAAGACTGAAGCTGTAGATCCAGGTCTGAGGCTGTAGATCCAGGTCTGAGGCTGTAAATCGGGGACTGAGGCTGTAGATCCAGGACTGAGGCTGTAGATCCAGGTCTGAGGTTGTAGATCCAGGTCTGAGGCTGTAAATCGGGGACTGAGGCTTTAGATCCAGGGTTGTCAAACTTGGAAGCACAGTGGCTGAGTGCTTAGTACTCTTGTTTCTCAGCATGGAAGTCCTCGGAAGTCCTAACCCTGACCCGGTCTTTCTGAATGGAGTTTCTCCCTCTGGCAGAAGATATCGTTCGCTAAAATGCAGGACATCTCGACATGCTCACAGCTTCTTTTCACAAGCTGTTATAGTTCTGAGCAAAGTACTTGATGATTCTTGTGGAAAGAAGCTGTTAGCATATCGAGATGTCCTGCATCTCAGCCAAGAATATCTTTTGCCAGAGGGAAGAAGCTGGAAGATGGCTTTTCCAGGGCCCAGAAGAGTCATTGATTATTCTAGCTGGATTCATAAAGAACTTTGCTGATCCCTCTCACTGATCTCTAGTCTCTCTCTCTGGCCTCACTCTCTATCTCTCTCTCTGGCTTCTCTCTTGTCTCTCTCTCTCTAGTCTCTTTCTCTGATATGTCTCGGGTCTCTTCCTGCTCTATCTCTCTGGTTTCATTCTTCTCTCTCTCTCTCCTCTCTTCTCTCTCTTGTTTCTCCTCCTGGTATCTTCAATCTCTCTCTGGCCTCTCTCTTCACTCTCTCTCTGACCTGTCTCTGGTCTCTCTCTCTAGTCTCTCTCTGGTGTCTCTCTTTCTAGTTTCTCACTAGTCTCTCTCTATGTTCTCTCTCACTGGCTATCTCTCGCTTGTCTCTCGCTGATCCATCTCACTGGTCTTTCTTTTGGTTTTACTTCAAAAGGATTCTGAATCAGAATCTGTAATGACCGCTGCCTGTTCTGACCCGGCAGGTGTGGCTGGATGCTGCTACACAGATCTTCTTCTCGTATGGTCTGGGTTTGGGTTCTCTGATCGCTCTCGGCAGCTACAACACCTTCAAGAACAACGTCTACAGGTGAGCCATCCGAAATAAGACCACTAAATTCACTATCCATCAACTTGTCTGGTGTACACTGGCGTACTGTTGTAGAAGCATAAACAATGAAAAACAACCTAAAGCTGTAATAAAATAAAAAATGATAAAAAAAAACATACCAATACCACAATCCATAAAGTCTCCCATACCAATTCCACAATCAATTTAGTGAGTTGATTTTTTTACAAGACAACCTGATGTTACATAACTTTGGACATGTGCATTGTTCGATTGTGATCCAGTGTGAATGAAGGCTGGTATGAGAGAGATAAGGAAGATAAGGACCCGCAGCGTCCACACTTGCTTTCAAGGTCACATCACACATTTATCTAGTAGAGCCTAGAGTAGTAGTAGCAGTAGTAGTATTAGAATGGGAATGGCTTGCAGAATTTGGAAAACAGATGTGTGAAAGTGTGTGATTGGCATAATACAGCTCAAAAGACGTGACATTTTCAGCCAAAATGGGGGCGGGGAAAGATCTTTGCACAAGTACTCCAATGTGGTTGTACTGCAAAAGGCATATAAACTGATTCTGCTACTAACCACACATTCTACATTCTACACGCACATCACTTCTTCCTGATTCTCCGTGGCAACAACAGAGAGACCTTTTCGACTTGGAGTCAACATCATCCATGAGCACTTCCCTATTGCTTGCTTGCAATCACGTGACGCTTAAACTTCCGGTTGACGAAGTGGTGGTCAGGCTAGCAAGAGTTGCTGCTGATATATGAAGGAAATGCGACTCTTCCAAGTTTTTTTTTTTCTTTTTGGGATATTTCATGACATTTTGAAGCTACTGTGGTGAACGTTCTATCTCATCATTCTAACAATATGTACGAGGCAGAATTTTTCCACTACATGTTTTGGTAGCTACTGGCAGCGCGGCGAATGCTAACATGCTAATAATGCTAATAAATCTCCATCTCTACCATCGACAATAAAACATGCCTTCTGTGTGAATTAAAGACAAGATCCTAGACTGTCTTTTTATTCACTTTAGATTCTAATCCACAGCTAGTGTTAGAGTCAAGCTTTTGCACTGCTAAACAACTGAAGGTTTGGATAAACAGGGATACTGCAACTTTTCCGTCTTTCTGTGGGTTTAAGAACTCAGAGTTTAGGTCCTGAAGGACAAATCCTGCATCGTACAGAGCCGTGTAAGTAACGATTGGTATGAACTTGTCATTCTCAACAAAACAATGCGTCTGTGGCTGTGTTCTTTTCAGGTCAAACATTCACAGTGTTTATTTAAAACGCAGACTCACACCTGACAAAGATGGGGATGTCATAACTGTCAAACTTCCATGTGACTGCATGGAAATTTCCCCACTGTGGGACGAGAAAAGGAATTATTATCTTATCTTATAAATAATCCTTCGATGTAAAAGCGTCTGCTAGTGAAATGTTAGCAAGCCACTTTTCCTGCGTCTTTTTGTAAAGTCTTTAGTGCGAGGCTCTTTATTCATCTCTTCATGAAGAATCCTAAAGTATCCATTAAAGGTTTCACGATTCGATCGCTTGGAAAACTTAAAACAACACATGCAAAAGGCATATTCAGACACGCTGCTCTAGTGAACAACTAGCTCTGCTGACCACCACTTCGTGATACGCATACGTAATGAGGCGGACGTGACGTCAATTGCAAGCAAGCAATTGGGCTTCATTGAGCTAGCGGTTTAGCATTGTCCATCTGTATACAGTCTGTGGTTGAGACACACAGACTCCACACGTCTCATTGTAATATTTACATCGCTCAATATTGTGGATCTCGTTATGCAAATGCCTTCCTCGCTGATTACAGATCTGGTATCTTGGCAACATGGTGTCTGGTCTGCGATGTTACCAAATGAACAAAGACATATGTTTGAATAATCTGTTCTTTGTCCATTCGTGCGTCTTGCCGCTGTGCTTCTTGAGTGACTAGGATACAGTCGCATGGAAAGATATTTCAATGTTTCTATTAAAATCGACCTTTTAGCTTTGGCTAATTACCGTAATTCTCGGGCTGTGTTATTGACATACTTCTTAGGCGGCACTTTTGCTTCTCAGCAAGAAGGTCCTGGTCTTTCTCTAGTCCCTATCTGGTCCCATCTGGTCTCTTTCTCTCCAGTCTCTCGTTTTGGTCTCACTGGTCTCTCTCTGGTCTCTTTCTTTGGTCGCCCTCTGATCTATCTCTGGTCTCACTCTCAAGTCTCTCTCTCTGGTCTCTCGGTCTCTCGCTGCATGTATACTCCTACAACACACATACAAATACAACATTATACAACCGCTTGTAAAACACGACAGCTAACCCTATTTAAAGTCAGAAGAACAAGAATTTCTTTAGGAATATTTTATAATTTATCTTGCTCCATCTGAGTTAAATATTCCATACTGTATACTGTTGTCAGCTGAACGCCAACACAAACCCAATGTGAAAAAACACAATCGCAGACCTGTCAAAACGACTGCAATTGTCAGACGCACAAAAAAACCCATTGTGGCTTCGGCATATTCAGACTGCGGTGGATTCAAAATGGCCGCCCCTCCCTCCTCCCCTCTCCTTCCCCCATGTGTGTGTTGAGCTGATAAGGCGGTGGTAACAATGGCGGCTTGTGTCCCCTGCAGAGACTCGGTGATCGTGTGCTGCATAAACTCCTTCACCAGCATGTTCGCCGGCCTCGTCATCTTCTCCATCGTCGGCTTCATGTCTCACGTGACCAAGAAGGAGATTGCAGACGTCGCCGCCTCAGGTGATTGCAGTCATCAGCACCACAAAACATGAGCATGCAGCAGGTGTGGTCGGAAACAAGAGGGACTAGAGTGTTTGGCATTTATCAACATCACCACATCCTGCCTGAGCACAGATTGACAATTACTGGGAAGATATTAAATTAAATTCAATGTATTCAATGTCTTGCCCTAAATCGCAAAAGCAGTTGAGTCTTTCCAAATGTGTGGATTCACCAACAACAGAGAATCATACAGTTCAAACACAGTATGTCTTTTTTATGAGTTAAAAGTTAAAAATTCTTTAACAAACAGATTCATAGACAGTGCTGGGACAGGAACAACGGCCGCCAGCCTTCCCAGCTCCATCCCCACAATAGTCTGTCCATCCCACGAACCAAGCCTTTCCTTTGCTGCTGTCTGTGATGGTTCAGTCTGATGGCATGTCCCTTGTGCAGGTCCTGGATTGGCGTTCCTGGCGTATCCTGAGGCCGTCACGCAGCTGCCCATCTCCCCTCTGTGGGCCATCCTCTTCTTCTCCATGCTGCTGATGTTGGGGATTGACAGCCAGGTAATAACCACAGGGGCCTGGGGAGGAACGCATTATCATCTCACGTCTATCGCTCTATTACCCTCACAGTTCGGAGACTGGCTTTGTGTTTTGCATCAGTTTGAGGCTTTAGATTCAAGCTCAAAAGCAGCAGCAAGAATTTTCTACAAACATTATCGTGTTGTCTTCATAATTTCAAATTATTGACCTATGCATGGTAAAATCTATCTAACTATAGTTCCTCACAGTTTGGATCTATGGCGAGTTTTCACATGCAATGTATTTTTGGCCTCTGTCACAGATTTACATCCGCTTTTTCAAAGAGAGGCCAGAAAGACAAGAGAGACCAGACAGAGACCAGAGGGAAGAAACTCTGAGAGAGACCTGAGGGAGAGGCCAGAAAAAGAGAGACCAGACAGAGACCCTGAGAGAGATCAGAGTGAGAGACCAGCAAAAGAGAGACCAAAGAGAGAGAAATCAGAGAGATTTGAGAGTGAGAGACCCTGGGAGAGACCAGAGAGAGAGACTAGATATACACCTGAGAGACCAGAGAGAGATGACCAGAGAGAGAGACCAGAGACCAGTGAAAAACATATACACATCTTTAAGGGTTGTCTATATACTGTACTATACAGTAATATAATATGTTTTCAAAATTCTCATGGGTTATTTACCAGTATTTCAGTAATAAATCTCTCCCACAAACATTTCCAATGTTTGATTGGGAAAAAGAGTGCCATCCATCCATCCATTTTCTACCCCTTAATCAATTTCTGGGTTGGGGGGGGGGTGGCAGTCAGAGATGCCACCCAAGTCACATAGCACCTGCCCCTCACTGATCCTCTGCAGGTGGTGAGTCCACAGGAGGATGGCTGCTCTGTCAATATGAGCATAGCCATGATCTCTCAGCAGGGGATTCTTGGGCAAAGTGGGGTTAAGTGTCTTGCCCAAGGACACAACGACAGCAGACATCATTGGGAGTCGGTGGAGAAAAAGAGTGGCTGATCCTAAATGCAATCATGGAATAACAGTATTTAACTTTCCTGCAGTTCTGCACCGTGGAGGGCTTTATCACTGCTCTGGTGGATGAGTTTCCCCAAGTTCTCAGAAAACGCAGAGAGATCTTCATCGCCATTGTCTGCCTCATCTCGTACATCATCGGACTGTCCAACATCACACAGGTACATGCCAACTACACTATGCTGATTCGACTTCTGTCTGGTGCAGAAGAATCCGTGAGTCTAACCTATCCCTACAGAGAGATACCAGGGAGTGGCCAAAGAGAGACCAGAGAGACCGAGACTGCAGAGGCCAGAGCAGGCAAGAGAGAGGCCAGAGATAGACCAGAGAGAGAAAGACCAGGCAGAGAGAGCAAGAGAGAATGACCAGAGTACCACCAGTGTTACAAACGTAAAATTCATGTTTATTTTCCTGATAGGGCTTTGCATGTTTTCCCCGGCTCTGAGGGCTTCTCATGTTTGGAGAGGTTACTTGAGTGGGTTTCCTCCAGACGTTCCGGGTCACCCCATCACCCACATTTGCAATGAAAGGTTAAATCTCCTGTAAACACAATATCCAATGTGTAGACTTGTTTGAAATCCCCAATAACACTACATTTAACACTGAAAATGTTTTTCTTATTGGGAAAATACTTGTGATTTTTTTTTACTTGGGAAACCATGAGGTGGGCCCTTCATTGTAGCAGCCTGTGATTGGTCTGTGATAACCACTTTAGTTCTGGTTGAAAGCATTCTCTATCAGTCCAACAAGGTCCAATTGGTCCTCTGGTGGATTCTACATCTCTAGAGTGTTTGTTTTAGCTGACAGTTTGGACTGCTGTCTCGTCTTCCTCAGAGTAATCCAACCACTGTATAAGAGAGATCCACATTCTGGACTGGGACAAAGAAAATATCACACAGACTATAGAGACCAGAAAGAGAGCAGAAAGAGAGACAAGAGAGAGAGCAGAAAGAGAGAAATCAGGGAGAGACCAGAGAGAGAGTAGATAGAGAGACCAGAAAGAAAGACCAGTGAGAGAGACCAGAGAGAGGCCAGAGAGAGATACCAAAGAGGGAGACCAGAGAGAGAGACCAAAGAGGGAGACCAGAGAGAGATGGACCAGAGAGAGAGACCAGAAAGAAAGACCAGTGAGAGAGACCAGAGAGAGAGAGAGGCCAGAGAGAGACCAAATATGGAGACCAGAAAGAGACCTCGCAGCCAACAGGACTGGACTCTATAGCAGCAAAAAAATTGGTTATTTTTCTCACTTGATTTGAAGCTCTAAATTGCTTGATTCTAGAATTATACTGAGGTTTATGTTACTCTAGTCTATTGTATTTGAATAATTTAAGTTATGGACTGGGAGCTCACCATTCATGTGAGAGGTTGTCTATTCATAGAATGTGTTTGTGTAAGCTCTCAGTCATACAGTGATTATTCAAAACAAAGGAAGGTGGCTCACCCTTCATCAGTACTTCAGTTTGCAGGTTTTCCCGACGTTTCGTTCTTAATGAAAATAACTCAAGAAAATGAAAGCTCAGCAGCGAGTTGGAGATTTTATTGATAGAATTATTATGTCTTGTCCTGTAATGAGGTCCTGTGTCCTGAATGTTCAAGAATAACCTTTTTGCATCCTCCTAAGATTTTGCACTTCAGTTAATGTGCAGACCATATTAAATCTGACATTTCAGCTGAGCAGCCTTTTTCCTCCATTTTTGTAATGCCTTTGAGGTACATGCTGTGTTACAATATGCTAAGAATTGCTTGAATATTGAATTGTGGTCCAAATATCTATTTATATTTCAGCCTCAGCCCTACTGTTTATAGAATAGTTTAAAAAGTGTGACACACTTTGGATTCTTTTTAAACCCTCAGACAGTAAAGATGTTGTAGATAGACATAGGTTTCTCCGACGACATCCTTTCCTTTTCTTCAGAATCGCTCACCTCGGCTCTTTCTGGTCTGATGTAATTCTACAAAAACTAATTTTCTAAGCGGTTATGTCACCCAGTGTCACCGTCGAACCATTATTTCTGACACAGATTCCCTTCCTGTGCTAACCTGCGAAAAGTAGGTCTTTAGAGCAGTCTTACAAATCTCATTATGTGATTAGCACACATAGTTTAGTGGGCTAATGTTTCAGCCAATTCAATTCAATTCAACGTATTTATGTGTCGATCCAAAACATACCAGCATTGTCTCAGAGGACTTTACCAAGTTTTTGATTCCAAAGTATCAAGGGCCAGTAGTATCAAGACCATAGACTGTATACAGATGGACAATGCTAACCCACTAGCTCGATGATGCCCAATAGGGAAGTGCTCATGGTGAAGTTTGGCTCCAACTTGCTCTGACTCCTATTGACACGTAAAAGTGAAGTCGTCAGGCTCAGTAACCATTTATGTCGCACTCACCATTCTGGTGTCTCCTAGATGAGGGACACCTAGGAGCCTTTTAAATCAGGTGGCTCCACCATCAAAGGTTGGGCCGAAGACCACAAAATGGCCGACTAAGGCACATCCTCTATCAGATAAATGAAAACGGAAACCAAAAGAAACTGTGTGGTAATTTAAAATAAACCCAGGATGAAAATAGCAGCTCATGAAAAAATTTACAAAAGTGAAAATTGCGACATAAAAAAGGGGTCAAAGTAACCCAATTCGTCACAGTGACACAAACGGTTATTGAGCTCTAGGAGTTTACTTTTACTTTACAAGTCAAAAGCCAAACTTCTCCATGAGCACTTCTCTATTGGACTTCATTGAGCTAGCGGGTTAGCATCGTCCATCTGTATAGAGTGGTTGCACTACATTAATTGTGAGGCAGCAGTTGCATAAATACACAGGCCAAGGTCATATTTGTCCCGGAACCACGATGCAGCTAATCTAATCCCCGCTGGAGGCCGTAGGAGGCAGATCACAGAAGTCTCCGCGCTGCGTTAGCGCCAGAGCTCACATTTGTACAGCAAGAACCGGAATCACTCAAACACACTGGGAAAGACAAGAGAACCTTCATTTCGTTCCACAGTGCAGAAATGTCATTGTTGCAGCGCACAGGAGCTTGTTTTTAGCACTGCGTGTAATTTCTGCATGTTTGGTTTTACCGGTGGTCTTTACATGCATGTATTTTTGGCCTCTGTCACATTCGTTTTTTCTGGTCTAGTCTCTCTCTGGTCTCTCACTGTTGACTCTCTCTGCTCTCTCTTCTCTCTCTCTGCTCTCTCTCTCTTTATGTCAGCTTTTTCAGACAGAAAAGAGAGAAAGAGAGGGCCAACCAAACAGTTCTTTGCTTAAAAAGCAAAAAAATGATTCTGAGTAATAACGCATAGACAGTGCTTTTCTGGACTCTTAAGTAGCTACTGTATGTTTACTCTGCGTTTGTTCTACTCAGGGCGGGCTCTACGTCTTCAAACTCTTTGACTACTACTCGGCCAGCGGCATGTCTCTGCTCTTCCTCGTCTTCTTCGAGTGCATTTCCATTTCCTGGTTTTACGGTGAGAGCTTTATGTCAATATTATTATAATAAATATCATGATACAGTATACTATAATATTATATTATATATGTGTATATATATATATACATAGTACATAGTAGTTCTTGAAAAACTACTATGTTTTTCAAGAACTACATAGTAGTTCTTGAAAAACCTTTTCAAGCTCTTTCCAATCGGACCACCGAGCGAGTGTGACATCACCATAGTGTTAGCCTTTATGCAGAGGAGGCTGATTTGAACATAAACTAGCTGCAGCCAATTTAGTTACATGGGAATTTGTTCCGACGGAATTAGCTTTGCGCAGTAACAGGGACCAAGACTGTTGCTAAGGCAAGCTGGAGTTTATGATCAGTCTCTCCTTATATGACTCACATATGGATTTACAAAGAATTGCTAAACCACTGATTCAAGCCCAAAATGGTGAGTGTGACACAAACGATTATTGAGCTGGAAGTGTGAGCCAGAGAGAGATGGAGCCAAACTTTTCCAATCACTACAGAGTGTAGCAACTGGATTAGCGTTAAGTCATTTAACATTTTTACTGTTACTTACTGTATAATGATTGAATCTGGAGAGAAAACATGGACGCACATTTTAAATGAGTTTATTCACTTAAATGAGTTTATTCACTTTGTCTATGATGATCATTCCTTGCCGCTTATAATCCCCCGGTACCTAGGTACTGTTGGTGGCATGAGGTGCGGGTACTGGTGGAAGCATAAGTGTGAAGTTGAGATGAGAACGTGGCTACAAGGGGAGGAGGAGGCGGCCGTGAAGTGGTGGTTGCGAGGCGTGAGTAGACAAACGTGACTTCAGAACAACTCCATAAGAGGCTTGGGAAAGGTTAGATGTAGGGAACTTTCCGCTTTTAAACAGCTGGCTTGATTTGCGTAGGTTAGCAGTGCTGTGTGATTGGCCGAGGGTGAAGGGCGGGATTTGATGGCTGCAGCAGGTAGCCCACCAGATTGAATCTACGCTGGCTGCATTATAAATATTCTGATTATAATTGTATTGGGCTTTATAGAGCAGGTTAGTATTCTCCATTTGTGTACAGTTTATGGTACAAAACTAGGTAACACTTTGGATTAGACCTCACTAATTGATAGCTAATTAGTGTATTATTTATGGTTGATTAGCTCTTGATTGTGATTTATTAAGCACATATTAGTCCTTATTCAACATTTAACTAGCTGTTCATTAGTGAGGAATAATCTAAGTGTTATTATCGTATCTAGTGTTTTAAACTGCCAACTGCGTCCATCACTCAGCTTCATAACCTGTTCTTTGACTTTCAGGGGTGAACAACTTCTACGACAACATAGAGGAGATGATCGGATACAGACCGTGTTTGTGGTGGAAGGCCTGCTGGTGCGTCTTCACTCCTCTCATCGTGGCTGTAAGTCCCACTCACTCTCAAGTCATCTCACTCTGACAATCCTGACAATGTGCAGTCTTAGTTAAAGCTGGGGTACGTAAACCACAGTAGTGAAATGTTGTAAATCTGTAGAATAGGCCATCACTCTCAACACAGTTCTATCACTAGTCCTCACACGAATGAATCATGTCTTGTAAATCCAGATATGAGCCATATAAGAATTGACCAGTCAGAGGCCTTCATTCACGGATAGACGCCAGTTTGCAACCGTCCTAGACACATGTCTGTTCAGATCGGCCTCTCCCCCACTAGGGCAAACACCACTGGCAATTCACGCTCTGTCAGTTTCCTCCTTATGTTTAAAACAGAAAAAAATAGGTACCCCAGCTTTAAATTGCCATATACATATTCTACCTCATCTGACATAACTTTTGATTGGTCCTTTCTGACATCCTGTGTGGTTTTGTCCAGGGTGTGTTCCTGTTCAGCGCTGTTCAGATGGTTCCTCTCACCATGGGCGACTATGTGTTCCCGGCCTGGGGGCAGGGAGTGGGCTGGCTCATGGCTCTGTCCTCCATGCTGCTCATCCCAGGATACATGGGATATATGTTCCTCACCCTCAAGGGCACGTACAAAGAGGTAGGATTTCTCTGTTATGTTTTTTCCATCAAAGAGAGACCACAGACAGAGATCAGAGAGAGAGAGAGGTCAGAGATAGAGACCAGAGAAAGAACAGCGAGCGACTCCTTAGCCCCTGCATCAGCAAGGAACCACTCAAAAAGCTAGAAACCTCAGAGAGTCACATATTGAAACAGGGATCCACAGATGGACAGCGTGTAGATTCAGGACTGAGGTTGTAGATCCAGGACATATACACGTTTTCCTTTAATTTATCCAATTGGCGGGTTTATGGAAAGATGTTGATTCAAATTAATATGTGGGAATTTAGAGCCAAAATCTCTCATAGAAACCACATAACAACCACAGACAGGCTTTGGTTTCATATTTCATAGTCTATTAAGTTACACATAACACACAGAGGACTCTCAGGGGTGTAAAAAGCTTGAGAAATCCATCGGCGACAACTAGAACTGACATGTTTTCCATTTCCCCTTTGCCTCCTTCACTTTTGAGTCCCACTCTTTCCTCCACTGTCTTTTTTTCATTAATAACCCTCAGTATTACCTTCATTGCGCCATTAACACTGGCTCTTGATTGGTTGAAAGCCATCTCTCACTGGCGTCCTGGATGACAGATATAGCTGGTGCAGAGGCAGAGTAAATGGGGAGTAATTACAGCCGTAGCAGAGAGCTGTCGGCCCGATGTGCAGGTGTCGCCTCCCGCTGCGTCGCTCTCCACTGATCGACTAATTGTAGCAATCAGCGGCTGACGATGAAGAGGCCGAAGCAGTCAGAATGACTGGTGCACTCTGTGTGCTTTGGGTTGACCTGAATCAGGAAAGGAGGCCAGTAACATGTTCAAACTCAAGGAAAGTGGAGCTTTAATTGGCAAAACATACTTATATACTTGTGTCCATGTCTGGGCTGTTCCACTATTCTAAAAGACAGGTGCTTAAAGATGGGATGCCTAACTCACAAATCACAAAAAAATCCATCTAAAATACTGTATATAATATAAGAGTTTTGCTTCTATCACTGGTTTACACATAATATATTTTTGGCTTCTGTTACATGTATATCTGATCTTTCAGACAGAAAAGTGAAAAATGGACCACCCTTACTTGGCCAATCATTACTCATCCCAAAGAGACAAATAGTTATTTTAGATTAGATTATTCTTTATTTTCTGGACAAACAATGTTCCTGTGTAGCATACAGGAACCTCCCGTGTCACTAACCTCCCGTGTCGTCACAGCGTCTGCGGCTGATGATCAAACCCGTGGTGCTGTCTCGCTCCAAGGAGAACGGCCCGGAGCAGCCCGAGCCCAGCCAGGTCCCGCCCACCGAAGAGGCTTACATCTAAGTCCTGCCCCCCCTCCCCTGTCTCTGTAACCACGGCGACGCGCTCAGCTTCTGTGATGCAGGTTGGACCACCAGACGTCTGCTTTCATTCACCTACCTCCTGGGGACACGTGAGACCAACCAAGTTCCAGCATCGTGTGTCGTTGTACAAAACAGACGAGGAAACACTACACCTACCCAGCAGAGATGTTCTGTGATATTATCGATTTTATTATTATGCAAAAAGTCTTTAGGAACGAAGATGTGACTTAGGAAATTACTGTATATTCAAAGTATAATTTAAAGTGGGAGGTCCAGTCAATAGTTTTGTGCTACTTTAAGGATATTAACCTACTAAACTATATTCACTGTACAAAGAAAATGTATGGTTGCATTTGTTCATGAGATTAACTCAATGAATGCCTTGTAATATATGGAGAAATTTAAAAAGTACATTTGATACAGAGAAGATTTTATGGGAATGTGCAAAAGGAAGAGGTCATGTAGCTGTTTACTGACTTTGGAGAAGCACAAGTAGAAGCACGGTGTGTCTTTGTCTTTTTAAACCTGTGGCAAATATATCTATTGTTGAAAATGAAGTGGATCTGGAGAGGTCACTGCAGCAAATCACCACCAGAGGATATTCAGAAAGATCCAAATATGGAACTGATCCTGTTTCTACCAGACCTACAATACTCTAGTCTACTCAACTCTACTCTGCTGTACTCTAGTCTCGCACCGTCCCTACAACTAACCAGTATCTGGGGAAATTCTAGCAGCACTTTGGCCTATCACTGTCAGTTATAACACTTTAGTGCCAGCTCGGTCTGGATAGAACCAGGAACTAAAGAAGGACTTGGTACTGGTTAAAAAGAGCCAGTGGAAACACTCCCAATCAGGGGAGAAGAGAGTAGTAGTAGAGTTGGGCTTTAGAAACTTATTATTGCAACAAAAGTAGGTACATCCTGCTTCTATTTACAGTTTGCAATCACAGAAAAGCACAAAATCTTTCCAAACTGCCTCATTGTGTTTCCTGCTGTGACCTGCCTCTGGGCCCACCTGGTACCTGGTACCTGCATATATAGCGAGAGACTGTTACACATTGTTTTTTTAAAGATCTTTGTATACGTTGTGCGTATATATATATTTTGTAGAACCATTCTCATGTTGTATATTTGAGCATGACAAGGACCAAAATTACAATGAAAATCAATCAGTGAACTCCCCCCATTCACAACAGGGTCCCTCCATCTACAAGCACAACTCTGTCTGTGATCTCACATACTTTGCACTGTGCGTCTGCATGGGGTCAGAACAGGTTAGGTTAGCTTCAGGGTTGCATGAATTAACTGTAGCTAAACTCCAGGAGTTTACTGTAGAGGGAGATGTTTAGCATGGCTGGGAGTTTATCACAGAGCCGCCGTGTTGCAGTCAGGAATTTAACTAGTGAAAATATAGACAGTAGAAGAAGGGTGGACCATGGGAGCGGACACACAGCTTGTAACTGCATTCAACTTTTCTCAGTCAGTTTTACAAAGCATTTCTGCATGATTCGTGTGTTCTGATCTGTGATAGCGGCTTCGTTTTCCTGCCGAATTGTGCAATTGACTGTTAGTTCGACATGCTGTAAAATATCCTGTTCGAAGGGCGGGTCAAGCTTACTGTAGATACACAGACTTGTTTTTGCGCTGGCTGAAAGTATGGGGGCTTTTGTAGCGGAGATCTCTGTTATCTGTGGTTAAAACTGTTGTAATATTTCACCAGAAGGACAAAAACAATAGTTATACTTTCTTGGAGGGTCACTGGTATTGGGTGTTACTATCGCTCATAGGGCTCATGTTTTGTTGCTAAATACCAGCTTATACAGCTTTCCTTTTCACAGCCAAGACTAAATTGGAATGACTGTTAGAGACATACGCTGTATTTGTGCTTTAGACTGTTTACAACTTACTTTCATTGTTGGCGTACTCAGGTGCAGAAGTCGGAGGGTTTGGACATTGCTTACAAACTTGTAGATATTCTTTTCTCCAAACTGGTCTCTCTCTCTTGTCTCCCACTAGTCTCTCTCTGGACTCTTTCTCGGGTCTCTATATTGTGTCTCCCTCTCTGGTCACTCTCTAGTTTCTCTCTGGTCTCTCTCTCTCTGGTTTTTCTCTCTAGCCTCCCTCTCTGGACCCAGTTTTGACCTCTGCTGTGAGCTGACGTTGCTGTAACTTCTCTATGGAGAGAGATTGTCACAGTTTTACCAAGAAATACACAAGGGCTTGTTCCTCACTCCGAAGCTCCTCATTTAACTTGTACACATTGTATCTTATCTTATTGCGAGAGTTGCGGTTTACAAATAGAGTTTCTTTCCTGTGTTTCCATCCCAGTCCTCTGTGCTCTCTCTGGTCCAGTGTCTTCTACTGTCTATGTGCGTCTTTAGTCCATGTCTCAGGAACAAAGGTGGAAGTGACCAAACTCTTTATTCACTAAATCGACAATTATTGCATTTTTAAAAAGCACACCAAACACTAAGCAGAATGCGAGTTTACTAAAGCACTTATGGCTAACATGTGACATCACTTTTGAGAATAATAACTACATATTGACTATGGAGCAAATGAGCGGTGACAACAACACTTCCGGATTCCAAGTTCAAGCGAATCATCAACAACTCTCTACACTGGAGTAGAGGAGAGTACTCTTCTCTCCTTTGCCTATTCTAATCTACTCTACTCTTGACTACTCTATAGCTTCTCTACTCTGCTCTGCTCTACTCTCCTGGAATCTCTGGAAAGTCCTCGTTAAACATGGCTTCCAGCAGCACTCTGGACAATCACTGTCAGTTAGAACATCTAGTACCAGCTCAAAGAAGGGACTAAAGAAGAACCTGTTACTGGTGGGTAAAATTCCCAAATCAGGGGAGAGTAAAGTAGAGGAGAATAGAATACAGTAGGGCTATGATGTCGCTTTATCCATTGCTGGGTTGTGAGGGGAAGCAGTCTGAGCAGAGGCACAGACCTCGCTTACCACATACACTTCCTCCAGCTCATCCGGGGGAATCCTGAGGTGTTCCCAGGCCAGCTGAGAGACACAGTCCCTCCAGCGCGTCCTTGGTCTTCCCCTGGTCTCCTACCGGTGGGACACGCCCAGAACATCCTTACACTATAAAAAATACTATCTCTAAGTTACCGTAAAGGCAGGAAAGAATCTGGATCCAGAAGTGAGATTTGATGTCACACTAACCCTTAACGGCCAGCACCACTAATGCTCCCCCGTGTTGGAGGGAAGAGACAAAACCTATCACGACATATCACGAGGGACGGAGCTCAAAACAACATGGATTTAGTGGCAGCTCTTTGCGACAAGAACTTTCGGTATCACCTAGATTACCCCTCTTTAATTAACAGCTAAGGAAGTGCTAATTGGTGAATAATTTATGCTTAATAGGTCTTTATTGTTATTTTTTAAGCAGTTATTAGTCCTTATTCTACATGGCCTTATTCAACATCTAACTAACTGCTAACTGGTTAGGGCCAGGGCTAGGGTTGGGGTTAGCACTTAACTAGCTGTTAATTAGTGAGGGCTAATCTAATGTGTTACTGAACTTTTTGCGATGACAGAGGTTGCTGGGTGAATTTTTGTACAGTTTCCATCCCTGCTGTTCCTCTTTGAATGATGTTGTACATGTATTTGTGAATGTCCGTACCACCTGAACCATGTCTGTTCTTTTCTTTTGTCTAAATGTTTGAAAAAAAAGTGATTTTGCAATAATATTATCTGAGACACTAAAGCACATACACGCTATAAAGAGTATAACCATAGAGTAATAATGCAGAGGATGATAATGCTGTAATAGAGACGTCTAGTCAGAGCATTGTTTTGTATATTTCTAGCTGTTTCTTGGGCCTAATGTAAAATATTCTATGTAAAAAAAATATATAATAAATGTCTTTAGATGGTGTTCTATGAAAAGCATGATGCAATATATGTTATCTGCAAAAATAAAGACTTATAGATTATATCATTGTGTCTTTTTGTCATTGAATTGCTCTGTGATTGTCCAGTTTATTTGTATGACACAAAGTGCTGACCAAAATAAGAAAAACTCAAATAATTATTTTTATTTTTTATTATTATTCAAATAACAATAGACAGTACATGAAACGAGTGAAGATACAATCTGCCAGTTGTTGTAGCGACACAAAACTGTTTTACACCTACATTTCAATATTGTAGAATATGTCTCTCATTTTCAGGAAGATTGTTTCATATTTTAGCTACATACAACTGAAACGCTGACTCCACATGGAGATGTGGGAGGAAGTCTGAACCAAATAACTTAAAGAAACTATACCCAATTTTTTTTCTAAGTAGTTCATAAAAATGCTTATTACTACATACAAGTTGTATTATAATCCGTAATTTAATTGAAAACTTGAGGTCATTGATTCAGATGTGTAAGAATACAAGCTGTGAAAAGTGCTGAGTAGAGTCTTAGCGGGACGCTCGTTCTCCTCCACTCACAGAACGAGCAGCGAACAGCCTGCGTCCTCCAGCCTCTACAGCGCTGCTTAACACCAGGGCTTCGACTTCAAAATTCGAATATAATTCTAAAATAAATAATATATATACTGTATATTTGAACAAATATTAGACCGCCCTTATAATTCAAAATGTATTCACTGACTGCAAATAAAATAGTTAGCTCCCAAAGGTTTCACCGGAACGTGCTAGGCAGGTAACAGCTAAGCTAGCTAGCTCCCTGGAACTACATGTTAATGGTTATTTCCGGGTTTTTTGCGATCGCTTTTGGTCACAATAAAATAGTAATTTTGTCATGAAAACAATAACAACAAATTCTGAAAAAGTCCGTGCATGTGTGTTAAGGATGTATATGTATACTGTATTGTCCGATTAACATTTAATGGTGTTGATTGATTGATATGTAGCTTATTTGTTTATTGAGCGTGGCTAGCTCCGCTAGCTTCTCTCGTTGTACTTGCGGAGTAATGGCAGTATTTTACACACCTGAATTAC